TTAGCTAGCTGAATGTGATGTTAACTAGGAATTGGTTGAATGCTAATGTTAGCTGTGGGTTAGGGTTTGACTTTAACTTTCAGTTTCTTATGAAATATGTGTTTTTCACAGTCTGTTTCTGATCAATCTATAGCCCAAGCAGAATTATGTTAGTGATTAGATTCCCTCATTTAGCAATCTTGAACACAGCTGTGTATTATTACAACAGCGTTTGAGCTTCCCACCTGACATCAAAAGAAAACTGCCACCTTCTGAATATGGTCCATAGCTCTAAACTCCAACCCTCCAGTAGGCTACCTGGTTGAAGCTGCTCTTAAATGTAGAATAATTTCCCTCAATATCCCTTAACTAACCGCGGGAGGGAAAATCTGACTTTCACTGAGGCTCCATTTAGAGCTGACACCATCAGCTAGTTATGTGGATCAATGAAGTGACCCAAGCTGCCGTTAAACATGTTCCTTTTTAGTGAGAGTGTAGTTCAGAGACTGACAACAGAGGTACAACAACACTCAGAACAAAAATATATATTTATGCACCGTCCTGCCAATGAGACATGGTCCCTGTGGGGGAACGATGTGATAAGGAGGGGAGATAGTGAACAGGGTTTTTGCTTTTCTTTCATTTATTTTTCCACTTACTGCTAACATTTTTAAACGACTAGAGATGATGATATTTTTGTCAATGTCTTCTCAGAACTAAAACTCAGCAACTCTAACTCTATTTGCCTTACAATAAAACCTCTGCGAGAGAGACTTCTGTGAAACGTTGAATTTTTAGCGATGTTAAAGGCGGATCAAGTTTCAAGAAAGTGTGCTGTAGGTTTGGCAGGACAGTCTGATCTATATATGTGTGTTCATCTACATTAATTTATTTACTATTTACAGAGTCAATACATACAGTACATCCACAGATCTCCATGACTCAGTTGGTAACCCCATCACAGACAGTGAGTGAGATGCTTGATGGACACAGAGAGAGGTATAGGGTTGGACAAGTGCTTTCTTTAAAGAGGAGGCAACAGGAAGTAGTGATGGCTGTATCAACTTTAAATTATGGTAATTAATAAAACTGAAGGAAAAGCGCTGATTTTCAAAATTGTAAAAGGAGTTTCTCTGAGGCAAGTAGAAACTATCCTTGAGCATTCTCCAATGTCCTGAACAGCTGTGGTCTAACAGCTTAGTATCCTTATTGCCAATACTAGATTTATTGACTGCTGTGCTTGGGCTTAAAGCTCCTGTGAGGAACTTTTGGTTTGTGTCAGTTTCTGTGATACTTGTAAACAAAGTGTCTTTTTGCTAATTGTGTTCTGTATATTCGTATGTAAGCTTTTCTGATGATAGAAATCTCATCCTGCTCTCGTCTGACACCTACCCCGCAGCAGTGTTTACAGGCAATAAAAATAACATTATAGAAATAGTTAGTCTTCTTCCTGATGGTCTCTTTTGCTTCTGTAGGGCATATAGAAGCATCCCTATTAATGTCAGTCTGCTTCATAGTCAGATAAAAAAAAATCCTCACAGGAGCTTTAAGAAAACACTTAGATGTTTTGACTACTAAACAAACCAAAACTACACAAATATTATCCATATGTAGTATCTTTAAGGATGAACCTTCACCCAAACATCATGTATCATAGCTAGGACAAACAATTATACAATCTAAATTGCTGCACTTCATAGAAATGTATCTTACAATTAATGCAGGTGAACACATAATGTAAACTCTACAAAAACAAAGTAATGATAGAACGTGATATTTGATGAGTCATAATTAAAGAGGCCCTAAAGATAGTTTCAGTGCTGCCTTCTAAGAGGAGCAACTCAGGGTTATAGTGCGCTATAAAGAACAAATAAGTATATAAATGGTAACTTGTTGCACATCACAGGTTAGTATGAAATTAGTATGAAATTGTAATTATTTGTATGCACCTCATTTGTAACCTTCTAAGGGGACTAAAAAAAGTTTACACTTTGCTTAGATATCTGGAAAACTGGACCCAGAACTGTTACATTTCTAAAATAAAAATATGTAACCAATACTAAGTCATAAGTGCTAGCATTTGTCTGTCTTTTAAGTTATTTTTTGGGCCTTCTTGCCTTTGTTAGATAAGGGCAATGGAAGAGAGACAGGATATTTTGGGAACAGAGAGTTAGGGATGACATGCAGCAAAGGGACGAGGTCGGATTCAAACCCACGGTAGCTGTGTCGAGGACAACAGCCTTTGTACAGGAGGCGTGCAACATACTGCTAGGCTATCCAGCACCCCGTGTAAGCAGTTTCTAAACTTCTTTACATATATCTAGGTGTGGACCATTTATATTTAGAATCCCTTTAAGTGCTTTGAGTGTAGAAAGGAAAGTTTTCATTTTTTTCATTCCATTATAAGCTTGCTGTGGTGGCAGTTTTTCTGACCATGGTGGTCTAATATGACGACGTGTATCAGTAATATGATATTCGTTTTATGATGTGATCTGTTGCTTGCTCTTTGAAGTTTCCACACATTCGAAAAAATATGGATACAAAGTAAACCGAGGAAAAACAAAATGAGGACAAAGGACGCCAAACAGACGTCAAAAAGTTCTCCATTACTTCCCCCTCTCTTAACCCAGCCAGCATAGACACGCTACTGTACATCACTCATTAACACTCATGCATATACTGAAAAACACACTATCACAAATAACCAGCTTGAGATTCCAGCAGGACAAAAAAACCCAGCTCATCCAAAGACAAACACAATAAACCAGCACTTAATGACCAATCAACATCTTCACAATCCTTGACCGTGTGCTCTGCTTTACGTAAAACTGTTTTCAGTCTTGGAACAGGCAGCAGAGTGAGATAGACCGGCAATGATACAGGAGAGACCAACGTGTCATGGTAGTTATTGCTATCGCTGGATAAGACCATTTATCCACTGGAAGTGATGGGATGGGGGACAGGGCAAGAACTGGTGACATTTTACTATGAAAGAACCATTTACCTATCTACAGCAAGCGGGAGTAGAAGTGTAGCCACGATGTTAAAATCACCGCCATGAAAGAGTTTAACGGGTGAAAGGAGAGACTGTCAGACAAGAAGAACAAAGTGAGACGGTCTGATTGATGGCTGGTCCTCCACGCATTTTACATCTATCCTTGTATACTTTTCTGTCTTTGTTTATGTGTGTGTGTGTGTGTGTGTGTGTGTGTGTGTGTGTGTGTGTGTGTGCGTGTGTGATACTGCATGTTTAAATTCAACTACTGCACTGTTATCAGTCTGTTCGAACAGCCGGGTGAAACTGAAAAGCTAGAAATGATCAGGTAAAAGAAATTAAAAAAAACAAAAAAAAACACAACAACAACAAGAAACCTTGGTAATTTTCCAACGCTACAGCAACACACACACACACACACCTATAAACACCCACACACATAAACCGAAGCGTGCGCACACAAACTCACAAAGTAGCAGAAAAGCCATCAAATGCCTCAACATATCAAGGAAGCTACAAGGGAAAAGAATCCTAACTGATAGGTCAGGAGTACAGCAGACCAAGCTATCAAAAACCCCGACCTTTTGTGGTTTGTGGACAACAGCAACAGAAGGAAACACTGCATAAAAGTAGACACAAATGGAGAGAAGGAGGTACAATGACAAATCAGGAGAAAAAACTCAACACTGAGCAGATACAGCTTGGTCTGGAAAAAATACGCAGACAAACTTACACACAAAATCATCTTAAAAACCCTGTTTATATATTTATATATATATATATATACTGTATATTTCAATACAACTTTCAGCTCCCCAATATACGGTTTACTGTATATTTACAAATCAGTAGGATATCTTAATTAGAAATAAATCCTAAATTGCAGAAATAACGGCGCTATTCTCTGTAGTTTAGAACGGTTCAGAGGCTGAGAGAGAGAGAGAGAGAGAGAGAGGACTGACAAGATTTATAATGTTGCTACTGGAGGCCTCAGAGCAGTTCATAAGATGGGGACACTGGATGGAGAGAAACAATAGAGATGGATGGGAAGGGAGGAGGGTCATGATGGAGTTTACTGGGTCCAGGTCCCTGAAAACCAGACTGTAGCAGGAGGGAAGGGTGGGGGAAGGGGGGGGGCTGTAGGTTGGGGTTGTTGGACTGGCCGGTCAGACATTGTGTCAGTTGGAATAGGAGGAGGATGTGAATCCGCTGGTGTCTGGGTATTTTTATCTGGAAGAGATAGAAAGAGGAAAGAGCGTAAAAAAAGAGGCTTGCTTTACTGTTTAAGGGGGGGGGGGTCCTGCTTTATTGTAAGTTAAATGTGTGTTTTGGTAAGCGGACACTGTAGGTCAATTACACCCCCCCCCCCCCCCCCCAAGCACCAAACAGAAGACAGACAAAATCAACTGAATAGCGGACATACAGTAGTATAGCATATGGCGGCAAGAGAGACCATATTTCCCTCAGGAGACAGTAAGTGGCTAATTGAATGCTTTGTGTCTGCTGGATGTGTAAGTTGACAACTTGCCTTTTAACAAGTTAGCCAAACAACTTTGTAGGGGTCATTTATGCCAAATGTTTTAAGCTGTTGTAAGCTGATCAGTAAATAGAAAGATTCAGGAATAAGCTAGATTCTCAAGTACACATCTTACAGTGAAGGACATGTGAGAGTTGCAAATAGTCAAGCTCAGTGCATCATCATCAAAAAGAGATTTAGAGATTTCCTTGCCATTTATGCAATCTGCTCGCTAGCTGTAACTTGTGGAAAATTCAGCAGCGTGCTTTGCGGAGCTCGTGATTGGTTAGACTTTTTACAGCCCCATGCCAGCCACAAGCCATATTTTATGCCATTTTAGGAGTATTTACCTGATTGATTGCTGTCAGTGTGTGAAAATGATTTTAAAAGAAAAAAAGAAAACTTCCAATCAAAATAAATGTAAAATATGTAGTGCATATTTAAAAGGATCTGTCTATACAGATAGCAAGAGTGCAGTTCAACTTCACAGTAGACATTTAAAGTTCTCACCTGATGAGCAGCAGCATTCACGGTCCAACACAACCTCAGTCCTCTAGAGCCACCATCCCTTTAACTGGGTCCTTCACTCTCATCTGATGCACACAAAGAAAATCACAAAATATACAGGAAACTGTTCCAAACTGACATTCTCCAAACGCTGGAGTGCTCATGTCCTCTCAGGACAACACAGATTGATTACATGTGTTTAGTGATTTATCACTAACTAAATTATACATGAAAACACACGTTCAGAAATCAGTCTGGCTCTGTCCTTAGCTTTTGTGCCCACCTCATCTAGCTCCTTGCGCGTCTCCTCCTCCATGCGACGAATGTCCTCCATGTTCAAGTCAATCCACTTGTCGATCCAGCAGAACAGCTGACGGTGGAAGTTAGTGAACAAACGCTTCTCTTGCTGGGAATCACAAAGACACATAAAGATAATTCATCATCTGTTTTTAGAGATTAATCTTTAATTTACAGTTAACCAACATATATTTAAATTCATACTAATTTGAGATTCTTAATTATATCCTGCAATATATTGTTTGTCCACTAGAGGCTGGTGCAGCCCAAATACAGTATATAACTTCATAGTGACTGGTCATTTCTCACTATTTCCATTATTAATTCTAGCAAGCTTGCAACATGTGAGACACTGATTGCCTTCACACCATTTGAGACATATTGGCACAGCAGTCCTTAAAAAGAACATTTACAACATCACATCCAAATATTACTGTCAGAAATCCTTCCAGAGTAGCTGACCTTAATATGTGGTGACAAACTGCAAAGTAGCACCACAGTGACAACGGTAAACCAACCTTTTGAATGAAGTTCTCCACTTTATTTTGCAGGCCCCACCACTTGAATTTAACGGTGACCAGTTTGTAGGCACACATGTGTGGGCAGTCTTTCTTGTTTGGAAGTTCCTTCTGAAAGTGCACAGACATGCAGAGAGGATTTTTGGAAACGTTAACATAGATTAATGGGATGATGTCTCCTGCTCAGCCCCCTGGATCAATTTTGACTAAAAGTCAACAACAACTTTTAAAAAAACTAATTAAAAAACTCTTATTGTTTAGAGAAAGGGACTATGTGAATTTTAGGCAATTTGAGCAGTTTTCATTATCACAACCAACAATTACATTTGAAGGAAAATACTCACACCTACATATTGACTTACTTATTTGTTTTGCATGAAAATATCACAAAGTCATGGTGTGACATGATGTCATGCCTCCAAGGTTTCCAATCCTACATGGTCTAAGGACATAATTACCTCACTTTGTCTAAAGCTACATCATCGTTACATACAGCCATTTTTGTCTTTAATGGATAGGTCAGATGAATACAGACAAGAAATATTGGGAGTAGAGAGTGTTGGGTGACATGCAGCAAAGGGCCATGGTTAGATTTGAACCCATGTCTGCTGCAATAAGGACCATTGCTTCTGCAGATGGGACGCACACTCTCACCACTGAGCTAAACCAAGGCCCCAAGAAGCTGCTATTTCAACACTGAATAAGCACCAGAGTTGCTAAGTAATGGGTATCTGTGTGAGTATTTTTTTATTCTATTTTGCACATTTAGTGTTGTGTGTTTGGAGGTTTTTGTTCAGCACTGATGTCAATGGCTTCTACATGTCTGAACATACTGAGACATTAACTTCAGACCCTGTACCTTCCAGTCTGGTCCTAGAGGGCCTCGTCCTGTCTTCACTGACTTGTACCTGCAGGGATCCTCCTCTGGCTTGTAGTCCTGCAAAGAGATATAGAAGATAAAAACGGATAAAACAATGCAGCTGAGATTGAATTAGTCGTAAATCTATTGATGCAAGCATTCAAATATGGATCTTGAGCAGCAGGTCTTTTTAACCTTCGAATCCACTTGGCTTCTGTCTGCAATATCAATATAGACTACATCCACCTTCTTCCAGGTTTCTGCATCCAAACCGTGTACCTGAAACAGAAGCACAAAGCACAGGTAGATACGGGAACAAGTCTCTGCGAACAGCCAACACACAAAATGTGAAAGTGTTTTGAAAGTCAATGTGATGTAAATCAATATTTAACTTATTAGAAGAGGTCAAAACATTCATCTGCCTTTGAGCATTTTTGCAAGCAAGCAGTTTTTAAGGATGAAATAGATATTTATTTTTGGATTGAAACACTGGGGTCATTTCCCTACATCATGTACAAGAAACATTAAGCATTTTTTGATTAGAAGACAAGTAAACAGGCTGAAGCAGTGGGAAATATTGGCGTACACAGCTACCAGCTACACGACTTGGAAAAGAAGGTAAACACCCACAAGGTGTTAGATACAGTAGAATTTAAAAATAAAGCGCTCTAGGTTTAAAGTGGGCTCTTTATTTATCACATGCATTTTTTCATGTAATCCTACATCCTTGCTCAAACACACAAATACGTCCCAGTCTTCACAGTCTTTAATAATTACATTTTCAAGGTGTCCCGTGTCAGGTTTGTGCCATGTCTCGATCTTGATCAGGAAGTTATCTTTCATATACTCGTTCTGCAGAGAAGGAGAAACAATCCAGAGTGAAGAAAAGAGAACAGCCCACAGGAAAATACGCAAGCAAGTTCAAAACCAACATAGACAGGAGTTAGTGACCCTTTCCCCCCACATACAAACACACAGAGTATCCCTGCTGCTGCTGCTGCTGCTGCGTCAATTAAATAGATCAAATGTCTTTCTCAACTTTTCAGGTGAATTTGCTCCCTCTACGTGCATTCAGGCTTCCCTGTATTTGTTTTTATAAACATACATGAAATTTATAACATAAAAGAGAGAAAAAATACTTACAGTGATAACTGCAGAGCCAGATGAAAGAAAGCACAGCAGCAAACAAAGAGAAAAGACAAAAATATGGATGAAAAATACAAGAGATGAAACAGCTATAACAGTCCTGGACAGTTAAAAGTGTTCAGGGGACCTATCCAACAATATCGGTAAGTAACTATGGTGTGCAGGATTCAGGTCATGTCTTTTTATTGTCCTGTGTGGTTTGTATGAAAGATGGCTGCCTGGCAGCTCGCAGCACGTGCAT